GGCAGTAGGTTGCAATCTGTGGCAGTACGGACAGGGGTTCTGCGGCGGCAGTAGAATGGGTGCTGAGAGCAGGAGCTGTAGGCCCTGTGGTCTCATGGTGGCTCATGGGAATTATAGCTCCTTCCAACTCGGGATTCCCTCAGGTCCCCTTCTCTTCAAGAGGGCAGAGCAAGCTGGGACACCTCAGGGAGGGCGAAAGGGTATCCCCTAGGGAAGGGCACCCCAAGTGCTGGGGTGCCAGTGAGACAGGTGGGGGCACTGAGGACTCGCAGCTCTAGATCTGTGACCAGGGTTCCATCCCTGCCCCCGGGGCTAACTGTGTGAACCAGCCTGTGTCCCCAAGAGGAAGCCAGGGGAGGGGGACACCAGGGGAGGGTCAACCCCTGAGGATGTTCCAATGTGACGGAGGGGAACGGACAGTGGCTAGGAATGACTTTCTAGAAAAATGTCCCACAAAGAGGTCCACGCCAGGGAAAGGCGCAAGGGACAGCCTGGCGCCATTCCATCAAAGAGACGCACTGGCAGAGGGACACCTGGATGGGCATGGAGGGCCAGGGCTGCACTCTCTCTTCTTGCTCTGTGCTGCCCAGCAACAGAGCACACGGGAGCGGCAAGCATTTCTCAAAACCTCTGTTTTTGTACCTACCAGACAGGAAGACAGGGCCCAACCTAACCACCTCACCAGGGCTGGTTGAAAGGTAACATACAACTTTTATGTTAAAAAGAAAAAAACCGGTTGCCATCAAACCAATGTCAACTCACGGCGCCCTCGTGCATGCCAGGGGAGAGCTGTGCCCCACCACAGCGTGGGCAATGCCCGCTCCTTCCCAAGGCAACTCACCAGGGTCTCCTGGAGCCTCAGCCCTTTGAGTGAGTGGCTTGTTAACCATGTGTGGCGCCCAGGGCCCCTCCCCGTGTAGTGTTGACTGTTTGTAAACAGTACACAGACATCCACCCTTTTAATTCTCTGACCAGCCTTATGAAATTGCTATTATGATGATCATCATCTCCCCTTTTGGAGTAGGAAACTGAGACACAGAGAGACTTCACAGCTTGCCCGATAGCACCCAGCTGTAAGGTGGCAAAGGTGAGATTTGAACCCAGGAAGTCTGGCTCCGGCACCCGGGCTCTTAACCACGTGGCTATATGATGACGCCGCGCACAGGAGCACAGAAGGTGCGTCTTTAAATGAGCAGAAGCGTTCTTGGTTTTTGCCGCTAGGACTCCTGGTAGGGAGGATGTGAAGCCCGATTCCCGGACTGAAGATGAAGCCTGGACCCATTAGGCAGGTGGGTGCCAGGCTCTTCGGAGGTGAGGGGAGAAACGGCCCGCCTCGGGGCCATCTTCTCCCGTTCTTTTTAAAAGCAACGGTCTCGCTGCCAAGAGCGGGCTTGTCTGTCTCTTGGAGACAGCCGTTGTCAAGCCCTGAGAGAAAAGCAGGCATGTCAAAAATAGCAGCGCCAGCAGACTGCGTGGCTGCGATTTCCTTTTGAAATGTCGGCTACGCTTGCCCTCCAAAGAGCCGGGCCCTGCCCGCGCCCTTTGCAGCCTGCAAACGTGGAGGCTGTTTCATGCTCTGGGCCATTTTTTAGAAGCAGGCGAAGAGTGTCTGCTGGGAGCCCTGGCAGATTTAAAATACAACAGATAAATACACCCTCCGCACAGTGACATTCAGGGCTGGGACCCAAAGATTATGTGGCAGCCCATGTGAGGCCCACTGTTGGCATTACTGACTCTGGAACTGGCTCTTTTCTCTATTATTCTGTGGACAAGGGAGACGTCTCACTCCTGTGTGCAGAACCCTGCAAAGGTAGCTGCCGGGAGGGCGCCCCTCCCCAGGTCTGGTCTCCTGGGAAGTATGGGGGTGGGGGTGGGGGTGGGAAGGGTCCTGGAGCCAGTGTGAACCGCTTTCCCCTGGAGTTGAGAAAACACAGGCACTGCCCACGACCAACCCTGGCCCACAGAGCACACAGGAAAAACTCGACAACCTTCCCGCCCTCAAGCCCAGACCAGGAACCTGGTGGCAGCAGGAGACAGGTCACACAAGAACTCAGAGACCACCTGTCTGCATTCCCAGGGACCTGCCTCTGGGAAGGACCCTGTCCCACCGAAACCCAGGCTCCAGCCCTGATTCTGCCGAGAAGAAACTGAGCGATCCAAGACAGTCCAGGGATTACGTGGGATGGAGTATGGAAATGGCTTCTCCTCCTCCATGCGGCCATGGTGAGCTAGAATCAGACCACCTCTTCCTCCCCGTAGCATTAGCAACGGCCCAAACCAGCGAGACAAGGTGGCAGCCCAGCCTGGTTGTCCCCAGAGATCAGTAGTCTATGGGATCCGGCCATGCCACTTGGGTAGAGGCAAGAGGACAGGAAACCGAAAACCAAACTGACTGTCACCGCGTCCCAGTGGCCCCGTCGGACAGGTTCGGCCCGTGTTTCTCAGACAGTTAACTTTTCCCAGGAGCAGAGCAGCTGGTGATCTCAAACGGCTACCCTTGAAGGTTAGCAGCCGAGTTCTAGTTCAGGGGACATAGAGACCGCCAAAACGCAAGAGGCCAATGAGTTGGAATTGACTCGCCCGCCACTGGTTGTTAAAGGGAGCTAAAGGTACCTACCTCACAACCCATCACCGTGGAGTGGGTTCTGACTGCTGGCGACCCTGGAGAAGGCCTCACAGGGCTTCCCAGGCTAGGAAGAGGCGAGGCTCTCGCCTCAGGTAAAGATGACAAGCTCAGAAGCCCCCAGGGGCATTTCTATCCTGTCCACTAGGGGTCACAGCGGGTGGGCTGGTAACAGGGATGGGAAGCAGCGACCACACCTTTCTCGAGCAGAGAGCTGGTGTTTGCGAACCACAGACTATTCCGTGAACGGCCAGCGTCCATACCATGGGGCTGGGGGTGTGAGGATGCCGTAAAACCGAGGGTGGAAACCATCCTGGACATTCAGTCAATCGACGGCTTTGATGGATAAATAAATAGAGCCGCAAAGGCAAAGCAAGCAGAGAGAAGGCGTGAGCAGCCGGGCTGAAGATTGCCCATGTCCAGGGAAAGGATGCAGGGGTGGTGTGAGCCCAAGCGAAATGGCAACAGGAGAAACAGCACATGCCAGTAATGATGGACGATCCATCATAGACGGCAATGTGAATGATGATCGACAGGTAATAATGGATAGGGGCAAGGCAAACAAAGGCTGGCACTGCCCACGTGTTTTGTTCACCCAATGCACCTGTGCCTCGTCATCCGGTTGTTAAGGGTGACTAGCTACTGCCCTGGGAGGGGTGGGGAAAATAAAGCCTTGGTGGTCTGTGAAGCTCCCTCCGAGATCCAGAGTGCACAGGTTCAGGGATTAACTGCTTGCTGGTTGACTTTTTATTACTATTATTATTCATCTGTAGGATTTTTTTTCCAGGTTTTCACTTATTTTTACAATATAGTAAATCCCTGCCCCAGTCTATTTAATGAACACTATCATCTTTCCACACGGTGACATAGTTATGCTGTGCACTGACTAAAAGTGGTTGGATTTCTCTTTAGAGGAGAAAGAAAGAGCTATGTCAACCCCACAATGCTTTGATTGTCAACATTTTTAAAAGAAATGAAGAATAAAAACTGTGTGCATGAAGTAGGGAGAGGCTAAGGGATGAAAGTGCTAAAGTGTCCCCATGTGGCAGATGAGCCCACTGCCACTCCCTCCTGGACAGTCAGCCTGCTCCCTCCCAGGTGAGAAAGAGAGGGGAAATGTAGAGATTTAGGAAACCAAGC